ATTTGGCAATGACCATTAAAATAAATACATATATTCTGTAACCCACTTTTGGGAATTCATCCGCATAAAAACTCTCTCACATATGCACACAGAAAAGAATAGTCATTGCAGCATTCTTTACACTAGCAAAAGACTAGAAACAACTTAAGTATCCATGCATAAAGAACTGATAAAATAAATTGTAGTGTATACGTATAATGGAATTCTGTGCTGATGCTAAAAATGAATAAGATGGAATTAATTATACTTACTGACATGGAATGATCTTCAAGATATTATGATTAAATGAAAAAAGTCAGGTGCAAAACAATGTGTTTAGTATGCTAGGCTTATGTAAAAAAACAAAAATGGTGGAGGGAAGGGATGCAAATACATGCTTTTGAAAAGATTATCTCTGGAAGGTTACAAAAGAAACTAATAACAATGGTTCAGTCTCGGGGAAGAAGTGAAGAATTTCGAGGATTAGAGGGAGGGAGACTTGCTTTTCATTCTTTTGTATTATTTCAGTTTCTAGCCATGTGTGTAGACTGTCTGTCTACTAAATATTTTAAACAAAAACGTTCAAAAGTAAACATCTTAAAATTAGTTTCCAAGGAGAATGCTTTTTAAAAGCTCACTGGCATACTGTGAATTACCATTTTATATCAGGAAAAAATGTGGGGGACAGTATATGTCTACATAATTGTAGAAGCATTGAACCATCTCTAATGAGGAGAATTGAGTGGCTGGGGACTCAGGTAGGAGATTTACTCCTTTACATCTTTTTGTATCGTTCAACTTTAAAAAGTATATATATATAGAAGTATATATTTATATATATATATATATATAAATTAAAATTGTTGTTTTTAAAGTTTATTAGAACTGTAGAGGAAGCAAAAAGGAAAAGTTATCTTAGGAAGTAGGAACAGCATGCTTGGTAGGGTCAGACAGGCCTAGTTTCAGACCCAGACTCTTTCAATAGTTGTGTGATATTGGGCAACTTGCTGAATCTCTGGGCCTCATTTTTAAAACCTTCATGAGGATGTTATGAGGATTACATGGAAAATATTAGATACAAAGCACATTTTTTTACCACAGCACCTATTAGGAGGTCAGTAATTTGTAGTCATTATTATCATACGGCAGATGAAATCCTTTCAGTTCCAAAACAGTCTCAACGGTTCTAAAGAAGCCTTACACTGCAAGAACCTTGAACTCAGTTCATTGTTGCTCCTTGGGGAGCAGCCCCATAATGGTGTTGGTTGGCACTGACTTAGATTAGTGGAAAGCCCATGACTTGCCCCAAAGTGACCCAGGTGTCATGGTGCCACTTTACAGCATCAGTTGATTAAATGTTCATGTTTCTTATTCGTTTTGAGATTTTTCACAAGAGCTATGTTAAATGAACAAAGAAATTTAAAGTGATAACAAAATAAAAACTTGTAAAATCCAAGAGCATATAGCACATCATCTTATTATTTTTTGTCTTTTCACATTGTTAATAGTATAACAAACTTATTGGTATGTTAAAAGGTACTAGCTATGACCAAATATAATTTCCTTTGCTTTTTCATCTAGGTCATACTATTTGAAATGGCTAGCAGTTTTCTTACTCCTCTAATGGAAAACAGATGTGTTATTCTGACTGATCATATATCTACCAGTGAAAAACTCCAGACTCCAGATATGTATCCTTTATCTCAGTGGTGTTTGCCTGAGTGTTATATTTTTGGACTTCAATAACAGAGTATGGTACTTACGATTCTTTATATACACAAAAATTTTTATATGAAATTTGATGTTCAAAATTGCTAATGGCATATATTTTGCAGCATGAAATAAAATAATTCTAAATGTACATACATTTTTGCATTATTCTTAACAAACGATAACATGAATTTGTTTCCTAGCTTGCATTAATAACAGTTGCAACTTTTTTCAACTCTGAATTTGATAAAGGCTGAGGACAAGATCAGTAACATTTTGCAATGACTACTCTGTGTGAATCCACGATCTGAATTTTGATAGAGCTGATGAAAAAAGGAGTAAGAATACAGACAGCCTCATAAGAGTTCTGGTGCAACATTACAAGAATGGAAGAGCAGCGACCCTTTGAGGCAAAACTAAGTGTTACACTCAGGTACACAGGAAATTCTTGATGCAGATTACAGAGGGTTTCTGAAAGGGCACTTATTTTTATATATCTGGATTCAGAGTCAACCACTGAATATCTACTGTGGGCTAAATAAATTTACATACACATTACTTCAATATATTTTATTTTTAGATTAACATGGAATATACTGGCTCAGAGGGGGAAATTGTACGTATTGATTTGATATATTATGCCCTTGAGAATTGACATACAATAATCTTGAGTTTTTGTGTTTTTGTTGTTTTTTAATCTGACTAGCTATCAATTACATTGATGTAGGCTGAGCCAAGACTTTAAAGAAAATGCTAGGCTACAGCGAGACTATTATTAATATTATATTAATGCAACACCCCCCCCCAAGATATTTTATATTTTATATTTCGTAAAGTAGATTGTTAGGTCAATATTTTTCTTTTAATATATGTTCTACCAGTTTTCCTACTTATGAAAATTGGAAGAAAATGAACTGCCATAGTATAAGTCTCTCCTCTAATAAGACAATGTCAGTTACTGTGGATGAGTAATCCTCTGACATGTTTTCACAGGATGCTAAATAGGTTTCCTTTCTCAATAGTCCATTCCTCCAGCAATTAAGTACTTTAGGGCCAATCATCTTAGTGTCCCGTTACATTTTTTGGCTGATTAAAATTCACGATAGGCTTAAGTGTGCACTTTTATCTGCATTAACATGTGATTAGTCCTGATACATTAGATGTACTGTGAAGTTCTTTTCGTTTGAAGTTCATTTCAATGGTTTATTATTAAAGTAATATGCCTAATGATACATCAAGAGAACAAGCTGACCGGAAATCATGAATGAATAATGTTCTCTAATATTTTTCCAAATTACTAAATGAAATAAAACCTTACTTTAAGTAAAAACCTTTCCAGTATTTCCTCAAGCTGTCTTTTTTGTGCTGTCAGACTGAAGATTCCTCTGCATTCTAACGTATTTTCTGTGGGAGGAGACAATCACAGTATTTCAAGCCTCCCTGAAGGCTAGGGGTGTGGTCCTCATTAATCCTGCTACACTGTTTTGTTTTCTGATGAACTCCGAATTAGTGGAATATTTTTGCTCTTTTTCAGCCCTGATAATATCTTATTTCTACATGCATGGAAGATGTTAGAGATAGTATTGCTGAAATACATATATATAAAATCTATTTGCTGTACAATAAAACTATACATTTAAATGGTAAATTGATTTAAATGCAATATTGTGTATTGTAAACAAAAAATATTCTCTCTTCAATCTTAAATTATTATCAAAATAGCACATATTTTATAGTGTATCAGCTTTATTAGTCGAACAAAACAAAAGCATGGTGGAAATAGAAATCTTTTTTGGAACTTGATATGCATCTACAGTGGAAATATTAATCATGGGAGCAATGGTTAACATAGGGGCACTGTGCTAGATGTGTTAGAGGCATTATCTCAGGGGTCAATAAACTCTTTCTATGAAGGGATCTGATACTAATTATGTTCTTCAGCTTAGGGGCCACAGCCTCTGTTAACTACTCACCACTGCCCTTATAAAGCAAAAGCAGCCATAGTGAATAGGGTTGGCTGTGTTCTAATAAAATTTAGTTTCTGGTCACTGAAATGTGAATTTCATATAATTGTCACATGTCAGAAAATATTATTCTTAAAAATATTTTTAAAAACCATCCAGAAACAGAAAAGTCATTCTTAGCTCAAAGACCATACAAAAACAGAATGGTTGAATTTGGCCCTGGGCCCATAGTTTGCTGACTTTTGTATTATCTCATTGGGTTAGAGGGCTTTCCTAAATGACCAGATATATGGAGATTATACTGTCAAGCAAATGGGATAGTTTTCTCAGTAGCCTCGGTGCTCACCCTACTATCAGTCACTTTCTGCCACACTCTTGGCAGTGGGCCTGATGGTGCTTCATTCAATTGTGCTTAAGGTTAAGAGCCGCTCCTATATGTCTAGAGTTGAGACAAACCAACTTAAGAACTGCTGTCAACTACAAGGATATACAACTGATCTTGAGGGCGTGAGTTGGAAAGAGATGACAGAATTGAGTGTTTTCATAGATCAAACTGCCTAGAGCACCGCCAGGGGTAAAGAAAGCTACAGGTTGTTGCAGTAATCCAAGGTAGAGAAAATGAAGATCTCGACTGAGCTGGCAGAAATAGGGAGCTAAGAACAGTAGACAGACTGGAGATATATTTAGGATTAGGTACTCCTTTGGATGAGGATTCATCACATTTTTTTTTTTAACTGTCTCATAGGAAAAAAGATAACACTCTAAAAAACCATTTTTAAAGTACTATCTAAATTTGGTTGGAACAGTATATCATCTCTCCTTTCAATTATTAATAACCATTTAAAAAATTTTGGGATCCCACTGGTTTGATTGGAGTACTTTACTCCAAAGTGGAGCATAACATTTTAATTTTTCCAACATAAAAGTTAGTTGAAAATAGTTTTTCTAAACAATAAAAAAGAATCTGCATTCACCACCCTCCAAAACCGTAAATCGCCGCGTGGAGATACTTCTTTCAATTTCCAGACTGTTTCCAGAGGTTTAGCTTGTCCTAGCGGTTTCCCAAAGCTCCTCCAAGCCCAGCAAAACATCGGGACACGGCCCGGACACATTCGCCCTCCCCGTCCGGCTTCCACCGCTCTGATCTCCCGCCCACTCAGCTCCGAGTCCCAACTCCTTCCCTCCTTCCGTCGCTTTCCCCCTCTCCCCGCCCCCATGGCTGCCTTCGATTGGCTGAGCTGGCTGCACCGCGGCTGGGCTGCAACACAGCCTCGCTGGGATTGGGTGAGAGGAGCCGGGGCCCCCGCGATTGGCTGGTAAGAGCAGACAGCAAGTGTGACTGCGCACCGGGGTGTGTGGGCGCCGCTTTGTTGCCCGAGGCGGGTGGCGGTGGAAGTCGAGGGGGTCAGAGGCTAGCGCTTCTCGGGACCTGCAGTCGCGGCCGTCGCAGTCACGTCGCCCCGTAGCCTTCATCCTGGGAATCGCGCCGACAGCAGCCATGAGCGGCGGCGTGTACGGGGGAGGTGAGTGC